GATAGTTGCCTGTTGGATAAAGCTTTCAAAGTCTTGCTACCTCATTTTAGATATAGCGGCCATAAACTATTCCCTTCGATTTGTTGTCAATGATTCTCAACACTGATGAAAATGAATTTTCGATTACGCGACTGATGAAAATGAATTTTCGATTACGCGATTATGTTCTGTCTAGAATAACTAATATTTGATATGAGGCCATATAGAATTTGGTTCAGAATAGTAATTGTCTCCCAATTTAAATTTCTTGAGTCTTGGAATATTTAGATGTGATGAAAGAAATAATTAAAACTATGTATTGTTTTAATTTGTAATTTTTTTTGTCAGCGTCTTGCTTTGCTATAATTGCTAAATCAGTAATTACTAATAAATCAGATGATAGATAAATAAATCAGATGAACGATTAAAAGATCATTTATCTAGTTTCTACACTAGCCCTGCGAATTCTAGGCGAGGTGCTAGCATAAAAATTTGGACATTGAATATCATCCAGAGCCATTGACAAGACAATGCCCAACGGAGAGACGTAATTGGTATTTTCCCATGTGAAGTTAGATACATTATTAACAATTTCCTGAATGAGTAAGTTTGAATGCATAAAACACCTGTTGGCACAGTTTTCTAATCAAACGCATAGTATATACCGGGATTGGGATAACTTTAGATACTTCGCATACATAGTGATTTGAGTAACGCTTATTATAACACTGAACACTTATCCCAATGTAGAGACGAAGTATTTTTCTTTCCAATGTTCCAAACCCTATCTTCACAATTATAGAGATATGGAACCTAATGTTAGTTTGTAAAGCAATAACTTTGTTTTTTCCGGTAATTACCTGCTATTTAGTAGTATTCCAAATGACTCCTGCCTCACCTAAGTAGTCTTCTTTAAATTTGAGCAGCTTGTTGTATCAAACAGCCAAATGGTTGAATCTATCTCTAAATTTTATTTATACGCCATTTAGAGACAACATTAAGGACTTGCTACCTGGTACAACCCATTTCTTACATTATCCTGAAGCGTTTTTCAAACACATGACCTCGCTCTTAAAAAGATGAGGAGATAAAATTGAACCCTAAGAAACATCGCATGTCACATTTTCAAAACATGATTACAAATTTCCCAACTGTATATAAAATTGCTTATCGGTAAAAAGCAGGGTTTAAATTGCTAACGTCAAATTAGCAGTAGCACCGAAAATTTTCAAGTATTGCCTGCTAAAAAATCATGAAAAAGTAGCCTATCAATGAGCTACGCCAACAAATAGCAACATATTACAAATAAATTTAGCCGAAAGAGCTAATGCTACTTGAAATCATCTGCAAAGGAAAAAAACAGTGAGCGGCTGAAGCTAAAATGAAATTATCCCTATCATCAAAATAGCTCAACACCAAAAAGCAACACGACTGCTGCTTTGACTTTGAGTTCAGTGTTGCTTATTAAAATTTCACATCGAATGAAATGCGATAAAAACGCGCTTTTTAACATTTGATAGTTTCATATAAAGACAATTTGCAAAAATTGTTAAAGCCTTTGAATTAGGATTTAAATCAATTTTAGGTAAAATTCAACAATATTAGAAAAAAAAAATGGATTTTAAAATAAATCTCGATTGGTTAACAACCTCAAAAAATAAATTTTTAAAATAATAACAAGACGATTTTTGAACTTGATGAGTTAACAACATAGTGAAAGAAAAGGACGGAATGACAAATGGAAGAGAGAGTAAGGTAGGAAAACATAATTCGGGAAAGTACACATATTGTTGGGGAAAAATAAATTAAAATGTCAAAAGAAAATTTGTTTGACGTTAATAAATGTTTTATAAAAGATGGTGCAAGATGTGTAAAAAACATTATAAATGCAGTAAAAATTATAATCTTAAGATTCATTTGGAAAAAGTTCATAAAGTAATATTTTCTGAGAACTCCAAAACAGTGTCAACAACTTTCAAAACCAAAAAAAATTAGATACGATATAAGCAAAAAACATCTGTTAAAATCGTACATAGGTTTAGTGAAGATACGCTCCAGAAAATATTGTTGGTGAAGCTGAATTCACAGTTTTTGCATGAAACTGTATTAGAGCTTGACATTTTTTCTGATGAGAGTTAATGTAAAATCCAACATATAATTTTTGTACTTAATAAAAATGAACTACACTTTTTATTTATTTTTATTATATTTATTAATAATAAATATATTTACTGTAATGAATTACCTTTGAAAAATGCAATTTACTTCATAGTAAATGTGGTTAAAATGTTTACTATATTCGATATTACCCAAGGTAACAATTACTATGTCGATGATTTACAAAAGGAAAAAATTAATTTACCATCACGTATAAATCGCTATTATTGAATATGTACGTGCTTTACTCATTTGTACGTTGACAACACACAATTCTAAAAAATATATTATCGGCTGCTCACTCGTCTAAAACGAAAATAGCAGCAGCCGAAAACAGAGCTATTGCTTTCTTTGTGTGCTGAATTTGTTGCTTAATTGACGGCTAGGCCTAATGCATGTCAACAACGAGCTAAATAGCTTTTGTCAAAGCTAAATAGCTGATCATGTGCAATTTTAGCCGTGGCTTCAAATATTTAATAGCAGTAGCGCTGAAAGACTAAGGGTGCAAGTACATAAGAAGCTTGAAGTCATGGCTGGGCATATTTTGTGACATTTCATAAAGGAATTACAAAGCCGCACTAAAATCCTGCCGTCGTTTTCCTTTATAATTTGACATTAATATGCCTAGCCATGACTTCAAGCTTTTTATGTACCTGCTCCTTAAGGCTATTTTCATTAGGTGCTGGCTTTTAAAACCTGGCCAATTCTTTGAAATAATTTTACCACATTTGCCACACATCCTAATTGTGTCATTTCAAATAATACGTTCTATCAAACGCATTTCCCATTGCGCGATGCCACAAACGCATTGGAACTTCCAGAAGAAAGGTAAGTGTTTGGATGGACCCAGGACAGCGGATGAAATGGACCATAACTTTTGTTGTTTGTTTCAGATTTATTGCCAGTTTTCGAGTAAGGAGGTGTTTTTGATGCTGTTGGGTGAACTGGAGCCACAAATGAAACGGAACACAAGGAGCAACAGTGTTCTACCAATCGTAAAAATTTCAACATTTTTAAAATTGTTGGCAAGTGGTGGCTACCAATTTTGTGTGGGAAATGAGAGCGTCTCATATATGTCAAAGTCAAAAGTTTAGGAGGTGATAAGCGAATGATTGGACATTGTGGAGCAGCACATATGTGCTAAATGGATTCGTCTACAAAAAACTTTAATTGAGAAAGATGAATGCGAACAAATTTGTATTATTCATTATAGATATGTGATCATAATATGGTAATAAATTATGTTGATGCTAGAAGTCCAGGTGCAAATCACGATGCATTTGTGTGCGATGCACATGACCACTTTAAAAATAATTATATTCGAGACAAGAGGATTTATAGTTGCCTTTTTTAATGCACACATACAACAAAATATCTTCTTTCCTAAAATTCACTTGAAGGGGACTCTGGATACAAACTTCAGCCCTATATGATGACGCCATATCGGAATCCTTCAAATGCCACCGAAAGGAAGTACAACAAGAAACATTCAAAACTACGAAATGTTGGAGAACGGTGTTTTGGTGTTCTAAAGAATGGGTTTAGGTGCATCATAGGATCGAGAAGGTTGCATTACAGTCCCGCCAAAGCAACACAAATTATTAACACGTGTTGTACTTTGCACAACATATGTAAATTTTATAAGAACCATTTATTACCAAGTTATACTGTATTCCAAAATGAAACTGACGATTTAGGTAGTTTTTCTTCTGGTGATGAAACGGCAGCTATTACAATTAGAGACGAAATAGCCTTAAATCTGTTAAATTAACTAATTAAATAAATAAACATTTATTTAATTAAAATGTAATTTAGGCTCTTTTTTATTAAAATTAAATTAATAGGGAAAAAATAAAATTAATTAGTTGATTAAAAAATGTCTTAACACAATTATTTTCATTCAGTTTTTAAAAATGTAAACATTTCTTGCAAGACATGTTGAATGCCTTGAAGAGAATTGGCCATCGAGTTGAGTGTTTTTGTTTGCACCTTCATCTGTTCTACCATAGCATTATTCTGCTCCAATTGTAATTTTAAAAGTTTTATTTCTGCCCTTTGTTCTTTTTCTACGATCTTTTGGTTGATATTTTTACACACAATATCTTAATGTTTTTTTTAACTTTTGTGAATTAACGATTGGTATTTTTTGATTGCCTACTTTGACATTTTGTTTTGTGTTGGAGTTTGGTGAACCAAAAATTATATTTGTCTGCCATTTGCCAAGCAATTGGAAAAAAAATAAGTTTGCTGAGCAGGCAATATATCACTATGACACTATATACATATTTCCCATCCGATTTCAAATTAAAATGTACTAAAGCGTAATACGCATTCAATAACGATCGCAAGCTAAGACAGTTTTCGTTGCAAAAAAAAACCAATAGAAATGTTTTACTTTTACCATCCCTTACTGGTTTTCGACAAAACAAATTTGAGAAGAATCATGGCTCAATAAGGATAGTTGCTCAACTTCGAAGAAACAAGGAAAATGCAACTCTGTACCGGAGTCTTATGTCAAATATATTTTTTAACATGCAACAATTGTTCTATTTCAAAAAATTATTATGTTTGGGAAACACACAAAACTTGAATGTAATTTCGGGGTTCCTCCACAAAATTGAATCCAAGATTGTTTTATACCAAAATTATCCGTTTAGTTGCCTTTCTCTAAATTTGAAATAATTTCAAATTATTTTCATTTTTATTCAAAACAATACAGACACAAATAATAACTGTGTATATGTCTTGACAGAATAGGGACACCAAAAGAAAAAAAATGTATTTGGGTGGTAGCATGGCATAATTACAGAAAGTAGAACAAAGCTACCCCCTAAATACAGTTTTTTTTCCTTTGGTGCCCTTATTCTGTAAAAACATATACATGTTTTTGTATGTGTGTATCGTTTCGAATAAAAAAAAACAATAATTTTAAATTATTTCTAATTCAGTTTTAAAATAAATGCATATTTTCGATGGCATAATTACAGGAGGTAGAACAAAGCTACCCCCTAAATACATTTTTTTTATTTTTGTGCCCATATCCTGTCAAAACATATACACATTTTAGTTGTGTTCCAGTACTTTTTTTAGTAGTAAAACTAGCAGAAGAGAGAATAGTGCGAAATGCCATTCTCATTTAGATGTGCTCAAAAAATAAGGGAACGGAAAATTAGCAGAAATGCGATAAAGTGTCAACATTCAAAATTCAAAATGAAAGCAGTCTAAATCGGACTTGTGAAACCTTATTGAAAAGGACGCCAAAATTTAAAAAAATGAGTATTGAAGACGGTAAGTTAAAATTATAATTATTTTTGAATGCTGTTTATTTAGAAAGCTTTGTTTTCAGAATGCGTTGAAGAGTATTTAGAGGTGGAGTTTTCTCAAACCCCAACCCCAGAGAACCTAACATGGTTGGAGGCGCCGGTAAAATTAATGTTAAGTCTTCTAGAAGACTTAATGCCACAAGTTGGGAAGACAGCCAACCTTAAAAATAAAAAGAACATTTTCTTTTTTTTTTCGCAGTAATAAGCGAACATCTTAACCAGATTGGGTAAGTAGACATATGTTTTCAATCGGAAAATAAGGACAATTTTTTCCAGAGATAGAGATTTTTATACTGATTCCGGTAAAGAACGATTTTCTTGGAGCGGACCCGTTACCCCGGATTTCTGACCTAAAAGTCCAGGACCAACTTCCGGTTTAGTTCCTAATCCATAAACCCGACATAGACAACATTGGAAATCCTATGAAAATACCTGTCCAACAAGTGGCCAAATGGTGCCAAATTGTTCAAGGACCCCTGGACCCAGGAAAGATAAAAGTACATATTGTAGCATTTTGGAATTAAACCAGGGAGTACCGCGTCCGTTCTCCAAGAAAAACATACTTTATCGGAATCAAGCTCTAGAGATCATTTTGAAAATATCGAAGAGTTTTTACTAAAGTAGAGTATTCCCAAAGTTCCCAAATGTTTTTGATACTCTTGTGAATGCATTTATTTACTTTTTCACTTTTTTAGGCGGTCCATATTTGTATCGCCAAGAACTCCATAATGGTATTACTTCTACTCATTTCTTATCCAATTTTAGATACTGTTTTACACCTGATCAAGTCCACACAAATTTTCGATCGTTGGAAAGGCGGTTTAAAAAAATGAAGCTCAACAACTCTTTAACAGGCAGGAATAAAGTAACATGCCCTTTTGAGCTGTAAGTATTTAGTTTTTGAGATTTTTACCCAACTTTTTTATGAATTGTTATCACTACGTAGTATAAGGAACTATCCACTACAATGCATGTTGTGGCATAGGTTTAAAATTTAGGCTTTCGAATTTTGTGTTCTTATACATTTTGATATAGAGAATTAGAAAGTATATTGGGTGAAAGGAAATCGCTAAACCCAGATTATGTCCTTGATAGCGAGAATGCTGATGGAAAGGATGGCAATAACCTCAACATAAATGAAGATTCTGGTGATATTGGTGAGAAGTAACAATTTTACTTTGGATGATTTGTGTCTCCTTCCTCCACATACATTGCTGATTTGATTATTTAACCAACATACTTATTTATTGACACACATTAGATGACCACAAATGTTGCTTAATTTTTTTAAAAACTCCTACATAAACACCTTATCTGAAATCCGCCTTCGAAAGTACTATTTGCCATTAAGCTTTCGGTAATAAGGAACATTTTCCAACATATTTAATTTGATAATCATAGAAAATATCCCTACTACTTTAAAGACTTTAGATCGATAAAAAAAAATGTAAACAATGTTGCAGTTTCCCATGAACATTATATTTCGTAACCAATTATAAAATTCAAGTATTACACCTCCTACAACCACAAACCTTATCTTCTAGAATGATACAAAATTACATTATCATCATCTAAATTTCCACCTTTTTTATTTCAGACATTCCTTCGTGTTCAAATGCGGCTTTTAAAAAAGGTATTAAAAACCAAAAATGGAAATAGCAATTGAAATATAAGTTTTTTTATATTTCAGATGTTCCCTTATGTACCAAGCCCAGTTTAAAAAAAGGTATCATAAACGAAATATTAAAACAACGTTTTCATAGGCAAATTGTGTTAAACTATTTTCATTTCATATGCAGAAAATGCAAATCCAAAGCAACGAACTGTTAAACTATTGGAAGAAATTGTGGAAGAAAGAAAGAATTTTCATTCGGCTGTGTTGCGACATATGGAAGCCAGAGATAGACGCAATGAGCGGAAAATGGATTTATTGGAAAAAATTGCTGCACATATCTGCAACACAAGAGATTAATTGTGTGGTATATCTATACCTTTTAATAAAATTTATGATACCCTACACCACTAATAATTCCATTTCCAAAAGGAACTAATTATATTAATACATCTTAAAAAACATGTTTCAATGCAATAAACAAATATTTGTTATTTTAAAATTGTACACACATAAGTTATTGTTCAACTTTTGGTATATTCCGATGGATAAAATAGGAATTGGTTTGTTGTATACACACACACACATATATATATATATATATATATATATATATATATATATATATATATATATATATATATATATATATATATATATGTATATATATATATATATATATATATACTCGCTTTATAATACGACTTACAGAAGATATGGTTACATTAAATCTATCGAAAAGATCTCTATAGCTACAGGCTTCATGACCCGCAAACCACAAAAATACATACAAGTGTTCATCGCTTAAAAGTCGTTTGTCTGAGCGTAGATGTTTGTACTGCTGGCTTTCGCTAAATTTATCGCTCAAAATTTTAAAAAGACTTCGCGAAATACGATAGTGCATTTTAAATTCTTCGTCGGTGTAGCTGGATATTACATTCACTCTATAGCCGGGTATCGAGTGACGTTTATCTGTAAAATAAGGAAGATGGCACTCAATTAATTAGATTCTATAATGATTTTATACCCTCAGCCGTATGGCTACAGAGGGTATATATGATTTAATACTTTTGGTAGTATTAAATCTGTAGCCATAAAATTGGAAAGAAGTGCCCGATTTTCTTCAAATTTTATACATCACAATATTTTACACGCACAATTCCACATTTTCCAAAAATCTAATACTTCAGAAAACGGAAGAAAATACTCTATATAGGCTCGTTGTGACACGAAATGAACAATATTTGCGCACTCCTTCGGAACACGCCCGATAAGTGGCCAACAGTTGGGAACAACATAACTCAATCGTCTCAATAGAATCTTGGTGCCAGCAGGAGAACTGCTGAAAACTATCCTACTTTTGGTTTTAAGCTTAATTTTTCAATTTACCTTTCACTAATTTTGCTATGTTTTCCAATACGCTTTCTTCGCCTTATTCCTCATTCAGCCAGTCCTCTTCACTGCTGGAATCATCCAAAAGTGAATACATCAGTTGCTCCATATTTTCTCTTTCTGTTTTTTGCACGACAAATATTAGTTTTTCCTTTAGTTTTTTAATGATCTTTTTTCTTTACATTTGTTGTGACGCGCGAACATTGAAATGTATCAATACATTTTTCAACCTTGTTAGCCCTGCCAATTAAATGTCAAATTTACAAGTTGCACATTTCTGCTCGGCCAAATTCATGTAGCTAAAACAAGCAGAAATGTGCACCACTCAGCGCCATTTTCGAGAGAGAGCTGCAAGTTTTGCTAGTTTTTTGAGTACGGGAACGCGTTGTAGCAGAATTAGCACTAATTAGTACTAATTTGTTGGTTCTGGAACACAACTTTTGTATATGTGTGTGCGTATTGTTTTGAATAAAAGCTACAATAATTTGAAATTATTTCAAATTTAGTAGCAAAATAAATGGAAATTTTCGACGTAAATGGGTAAACAAGTTGTACAATTTTGTGATAAAATTGTATTGCCCAACTATTTTATATTCAATCTTCTGGAATAACCCCGAAATTCCATTCTTGTTTCTCGGATTTTCGCCAATATAAGAATATTGTTATAAAAATAAAAATAAACAAAACCAACTATTGCATATTTAAAAGTCTAATTGACGAAGGATGCTTGCAGGGAAGCATTGGACGTGAGTAACTCACTCCCATATTAAGATGCCACTTCTGCGACGTTCTTATCCTAATAAATACGATGGTATGTACAGTTACAATAACAAAACTACTGTTGTCTACTACGTAGTGGCGCCAAGGAAGATAAAATAAGGTGTTCCGTGTGCAGACACTATTTTGTGACTTCCATCGGATAAAACATCGATAGTTTACAATTGTTTACGAATTGAACAAAAATAAGACTAAAAACATATTTTTATACCCTCGACCTTGAAAAGAAGGGTATATTAATTTTGTTATTCCGTTTGTAACACCCCTAAATATTTGTCCTAGACCCCTAAATATAAATAATCAACATAAAATTCTAAGTCGATTTGACGATGTCCGTCTGTCTGTCTGTCTGTGGTAATCACGATACAGCCCACATAGAACAATTTGTATTGTGTCTAGGATGGTTGGTATTGAAAATGAAATATATCGGTCCACGTTTTGGTATAGTCCCTATATACCGGTACCTCCCGATATTCGGTATTTTGATGATTTTTGCCGCATTTTTCCACGGATATGTCTAAAAATTGGTATTTGTGGGTCATAATGGGTTCTAGCTCGTATGGTGGAACATTGTATGCATAGGTTCACGTTTTGGTATAGCCGGCATATAACGGTACCTGCCGATATACCAAATCTAGATGATCTTTGCCACATTTTTACACGGATTTGTATAAAAATTAGTATTTGTAGTTCATAATGGCTTCTAGACCGGTGGCAAAACATTAAATATTTAGTTCCACGTTTTCCTATAGCGCACATGTAACGATACCCACCGATATTCGGCATTTTGATGGTCCTAGTCAAAGTTTTGAATAACCAAAACGAACATAAAATCTGAAATAAGCATCAGGTCCTCCGCAAACTTCGCACATCGCAATATTTTTACCAAAACAAGATCTGATTTGAAGATGGAATATGTCGGTCTACTCCTTCTGGCACCTCCCCCACAAAGGATCAAAATTTTGAATATTCATGAAGCTCAAATTTGGTATTTTAGAAGATTTGATAGATGAAGTATAAAATTGTCCATAGAGGTTCCCGTTTTGGTATGGCCCCATATAACGGCCTCATTCACTTTATGGTTTTTTTATATTTTAACTGAATTATCCAAACGTTCTTACTGGTATATGAAGTTTAAAGTGAAACACGCTTGAATACAGAACAACAAATTTTAAATTATTGTTGCCTATGCAAATACAATGATTACAATTCTACAATTTTCAAAATTTTTATCTACTTTCTGATTAATCTGTTGGTTGTGTATGTATATGTAAACAAATATCAGATGAGAAGAAATTATAAATAATAAAAAGTAAAGTCAACCCAATAGATCTACTGAACCCAGTAATTTAATCTTCAATAAACGCGATATAAATCTGGTTGTACAAATCCGGATTTAGCTATAACATCTCCGGATAAAACTTTGTACCTAGACGCTATATAAGAAAGACTTTACTTTTTCATACAAAAATATGAAACCAGTGAAGAAAGTCCTATAATTTAAAATTCAAAGGACTAAATATGCCGAAGCATTTGTATCTTTTAAATTCGGACTTGTATTGTCCATTTGGTTCAAAAGTAATTTGAAATCACATAAAGATATATATGGGATCTCGATAAAATTTGGCAAAGATATTTCTGAGCTGTATTTGATATATTTCCCTGAATATCGTTGTTACGGAGTGCATATTACGGCTGTGGGTAATAAATACAACAAATCGGATGAACAATATATATGAGAGCTATAGCTATATCTGAACCGATCTTCACCAAATTTGGCATAATACCTTCTAGACTCAATTCGGTCGTATATGCCAAATTCCATCACATTTGGGCAAATATTAGACGTTTGGTGAACAATAAAAGGTAAATCGGACGAAGTTATATATGGGAGCTATATCCAAATCTGAACCGATCTCGATAAAATTTAGCAAATGTATTTCTGAGCTGCATTTGATATATTTCCCCAAGTATTGTTGTTACAGAGTGCATATTACGGCTGCGGAGGACAAAAATAACAAATCGGATGAACACTATATATGTGGGAGCTATAGCTATATCTGAACCGATTTCGATCAAATTTGGCATACTTATTTTCAGATCTAATTTGGTTGTATGTGCAAAATTCCATACTATTCGGGCTGATATTACACGTTTGGTGCACAATAAAAAGCAAATCGGACGAAGATATATATGGGAGCTATATCTAAATTTTGACCGATTATCTCCAATTTCAATAGGGTTCGTCCTTGGGCCAAACAAATGTTGTTTGGAAAATTTCATCTCAATCGGATAATAGATGCGACCTGCATTTTTTCACAAGAATACATGGACAGACGGACTGACATGCATAAATCAACTCAGAAAGTGATTCTCAGATCATCAAAAGGAACTATGAGTCTATCTCGTTTCCTTTTGCCTGTTACAAACAAATGCACAAAGACATGACCACCTTGTGGTGTAGAGTATAAAAAGTAAACAAGACAACATTTCGTTAGACCCAGCAGAGTAATGGCACGTTTTCACAAAGAATATATACCCTGGTAAATCGTGATAATTGAACATTAAGAATAAATTTTAGGAATGTTTTTCATAGACAAATTGATGGTGATTGGTCAATTATCAGGCTGAAAGATTTATATTTAAACGTACTTTAAGCATAAGCAACTGAACCATAAAACAGCTGTTCGAAACAACCATTGACAAAGTGTTTCTCACATTTCGCTCATTTTTCCTAAACTCATGGTACAATTGAATCAAGGTAACCTCATGTCAAATAATTGTACCAAGCTTTGCATTTTCTGGGATTTACCTTGCCAAATTTTACATAATTGATAACAGTTTCCCATCTCTGATGGGATTTTTTATAAACATGGATGGATTTTTAAATAAACATTTTGATCATGAGAAGTTGTCAAATGTGTAATATTGACATTAGCTTCCTTATTTTACCATTGTTAAGCATTTGCGTTAAAGGATGGCATTCAGTGAAACTGTGTAACAACTGTGAAAAAAAAAACACAAATAATTGAATTATCCAGCCCATATAAGTAGCAATTTTACGACTTCTCTGTAAAAAAAATATGTTTGCTTCAAATCAAATTCAAAGGCTTGCCAGCTGAACATATCGCAATATTCCATTCGGCAAATAGTGAAAAATGAGCTCGGGGTAAAGCCATTGAAATTCCAAAAAGTGCAAGAACTTACACCGCAACAGAAAGAAAATAGACTCAAAACAGCCACAGAGTTGCTTCGCTTGGCCGAAAGTGGTGAACTGCCGAATTTGGTTTTCTCCTATGGGAAAACATTCGTTGTCCAGCAGTTTGTAAA